CAGAGGTCTCTATGAGTGAGGAACAGTGTCTCGGTTTTCCTGTTTTCAGAGACATTCTTTGGTCTCCGGTTCATCAGACTGAAGCTTTGACAGGTGTAAAAGAAAAGTATGGGCACAGAGCAAAGAGGAAGAGCAGGAAGGACAAAGCTGAGATGAACATCCAAAAACACTCTAGTGCCAAGTGTGCTAAGGTGTTTCCTGGAGTTATCAGTGTTTTTTGTATGAAATTCTCAGAACAGTAATGTGTGTTTTTGTAACCATCATTTTTGTATTTTTTTTGTAATTGTGTCTTTTTATTTGTATTCACTTTTAGTCAGCCTAAAAGTGAAACACAGAAAATAGAAATAAAAGGCTGCATCTGTGCTGTAAAGGAACGGTCATTGAAATTTAGAATAAACTCGGGCAGCTTTACGTTGTTTGAGGTTGATCAATGTCCCTTTTCAAATAAACAACGTGAAATGGCAAGCTCCTTTCTATAACAGAATGACACACACTGGCCAAGCTGGCCAAGGAGTTTACATGATCAATTACTGGGTCAAAGAATGTGTTGAATGTCTCTTTACTCTTTACTCTTCATACCCATTTCACTTCGGTTACTATTTTGTCTAATAAAGTCCATTAGCAGAAAAGCAATAAAATACACAAATAATAAAACCAGACCTAGATAATGGAATTAGGAACATTATCAGCAGCATTGTCTGTAAGTCTGTCATGATAATTACTATGTGCACTAATCGTTCAGTACATGAGATGGAGCAATTATTTTGGGAGGTCAATAATTTTTCTGTTCTATGATAAGATTTGAGTTGTAAAGCATTGACTAAATGACTTCTATGACTCATTATAGACACAAACTGACTACTTTAGGGTTCTCTATATTTATGTATTGTAGTTAAAGATGCATTGTGTAATTTTTCTACTTATCACCTGCTTGTTTCTATGGAGATGCCATTGCTCTCCCTGTAATGGTACACAGTCTTACATTAAACAGCTCCGCATAACATTTATGAAATTACTGTTTGTTTAATAGCTCTCTTGACTGTAAGCGGAGTCGCCGCTCCACAGATCTGACTTGTAACTTGGTCTGGTTTGTTCTCCATAAAGGTAGAAAAGTTCCACAGTGCATGTTTAATGTACAATACTGTTTTAAAAATAAATATTAGGAATACTTTATGGGAAATAATGCAGCTTTATGGTTTGTTTCAATATTATTGTTAATAGTCTATATTTAGTTCAATAATATAGCGCAATTCAAAATTTGTAATCGTGATAAGCCTAGTTGTTAGTCAAGTTGTTAATGTTTTGATATCAGAATCCTTTTTCTTGTAAGCAGTATTCTATTATGTATTATTTTCTTAAAAATCCAGCAAACCATTCCTCTCCCAGCATGCAGTTCAATTAGTTTTGATTGCTCCAACATTTGACCATCTATGAGACATTAAGGAGGGGAGAAAAACCCCAGGGATCTAACTACAACCATAGATTTTGTGAGCAAATGGGCAAAACTACCTGAATATATGCCTCCCTATTGCCTATTTTTAATGCCTATTATAGAAAAATTGGAAAACAATAACTTTAATTCAAGGTGTAAAGTGAAGCAATTATGTACAACCGAGAGAACCTATAGAGACCTTTTCCAATATCTCCAATAATTTATAAGACAGGCCTTTCATAATTTGTAGTGGCTAGAGATTAGTTGCATGTATAGTAATTAGAGGGCCCATATTACTCTGTTTTATGTTGTTATAATGTTCTTTGTTATGTTGTTCTTTCCTAACAAAAACATAACTGGAGTTGCGTTTCTTTCACACATATCTAACACACAAACCCTGAGTTATTCTATCGAACAGAAAACACTCTACTTGACCTTGTCATGTCATGTGGTAATACAGGAAGTGCTCTCACACTGTGTTTTTAAATACACCTTCACTAGAATCATTTGAATGATTTCAGTCCTGGAGTTGCCAATCTCAAACAAATAAAACGCACACTGTAGCTGTTAACATACCTCTTCATGACATCACAAGGAGCATTTCGAGGTTTGGAGACGTAGACAATAGTGGCGAACAGTGCCCTCAGAACCTAGGCCTTCAGTCTGTCATATTTACAAACAGCCAACGACTAGCAGTAAAAATGTCAAAGTGACCCTACACAGCCTTTCAGCGCTGAATATTTTCCACACTGTAGTCCACTGTCGTTGCGCTCAAAAACATGAGCACAACAGATAATAGTGAAACGCGGCGCTAGTTTCCACACACTTCCCATCACAAACCATCACCTGATCCATACAAACACACGAGTCAGAACAAGCACGCACATCGACAACTGAATACAACTGTTTTTTCCTTTATGTTATCTCATTAGCTATAGCAAATACAGACAGCTCCTCTTTGAAAATAAAACCTATTATTAATTCAAATGAAAAGTCCAACCGAATGAATCTTTGCATTAGGCTATTCCTTTTTCTTAAAGGGCCCATCTCATGCAAAATAACTCTTTTCACATTGTATCTTCTGCACATATACAAGCACAGTTTTGGTTTTGAAACATCCATTACACAATAGTTATGAAATCTTACTGATTTCTTGGAGGCAGTCACAGACCAGGAACTATGAAAGACCCGCTATTGCTCATCCCCCTGCCCGTCCTGAGAAAGCACAGGCTCTGCCCTCCAAACGTGAAGTAGGCTCTGAGTGAGCCGCCCTTCCTTCGCCCATCTCAGGGAGGGAGGGGGAGACAGGCGTGCACCCTGATAGCGGTAGGAATAAACTTTTATTCATCATGGAGATACAGCGCGTTCAGCTGCATGTGTTGGACCCGGAATCGGACGAGGACTTGGAGGTGCATGAAGCGCAAGCACCGCATCGGCATCAGCTGAACATTACTGATTGATGGTAAAGTATTAATAAACGTTAGTAGATAAACGTATTATATCGAGTACACTGCAGTGTAGAACAATTTGCGTATGCTGTTGCTTTTGTTTAGGTGTTCATGTGGGAATGCGGGGTGGAGGCGGACAGGTTCAAAGCGCTTTCTGCTATGTCAAACACGTCATAGGTGTAGCTGGCCGTGTCATTGTTGAAGCAGGCTTTAGTTGGTTGTCACATGGGAGGGTGGCAGAAATACCCTGCAATTTGTTTAAAAAAATGCCAAAACAATCTAAAAACCACTTCAGCTACATATACAAGGCCCACACATCACTCTTAGAAGGTAGAAAGCTCTGAAAAGTTGATTTTGCATGAGATGGGCCCTTTAAACTCCATAAAATTGAAGCGTAGATCAAGTTAGCCTCAAATAACTCTTAATAGAAGCAAAAGAGTGAAGCGCCTGCTGGTGGCTGCTCCAATCATTACACAGGAGCAACGTGGGCCGCAGAGAAGGTGTGGGTGGGACTAAACCAACCACTAGTGATGGTTCCCTGGTTCCTGCCTGTCAATCAACTGCAAAGGGAGAATGTGATTGGTCAGTGCTAATGCGCGGGCCCTCTGCTCGCTGTCTGCAGGCCAAGATCAAGACTTTATTGATCCTGAAGGAAATTCAAGTTCTGCTGCAGCAACATTTACGCTAAGCTTCTCAGTCTCCTTCATGAAATGTCTAATAGGAATATTATCTTACATTTTTTGTTTGTGCCTCTTGCAGACAGACTAATAATAAAGGATTACTCAAGTGTGTGAATGAAACATAACCCAAAGTTCCGGGTATGTTTTGATAAGGTCACAACATTATTACATGGCGTAAAGCTAAAGTGTCAATTTTGTGAAATATAGGACCTTGAAGTGTCAAACACATGGTTCGTATATACAGTATGTTCCAGGTATGGTCAGTTACGTCAGAAAATATCATATAGAGGCAGACCCCTTTAGACCCAGATCCTGAGCTGGCCTGCTTGTCTTTTGCCCAATAGTGTCAGCCTAATAGCGCTGTAGGAAAAAGGCCATTTGCACCATAAATTGTTGGGATGTATAGGAGCGTAGACATTCTCTGGACAAGTAAATTGCTGGTTCTTTATAACCACTGTCACACATTTCCTCTGGACAAAAGACGGTCTTAATACTACACAAGACAGCTAGTCAATAGGAGATAGAAAAAGACCAGGAACACGCTTTACGAGATTTTTCTGTACAACACACAAATCCAGATAAACCTTAAGGATATGAGAAAAATAGAAAAAAACGTTTGTTATTGTGACATTGAGCTCTCCCTTTTGTCATCAGAATATCGTGTACCAGAACAAGACCAAGCAGGTATTGAAACAAGCTTATCTATCTGGTAAATACAAAGATCATTTCTACTGCTAAAGAGAAAGAGACTGAAAAGGAGTACAACTTGTAGTGATAAATTTAAAAGCCCTGTACCTGATTTTTTGTTATATAGTTGAGTAAAATGTATCTATGCAGCGCTGGAGGTCAAAATAGGTCTGCTGTGTACCGTATATCAATATTGTCTGATAAACAGGAAGTCCATGGTTAGCATGCTAGTTGTTGTGTTGTGATGTTGTGATGCAAAAACTGTGTTCTGGCCTCTGAAAGGAGTGAAAAGCCCTTAGAACGATTGGAAAGCATAAGGTACATGAGGAATAACTTTGGACCACCATACTATTAAACCATTAAAGTTCTGTCATTGTGTCCTTAAGCAAGACACTTAACCGATCTTGAACCTGTGTGTGTGTGTGTGTTTTCGTAGTGATGGTCAGAGATGGTTCAGACTGGCAGCCTCGGCTACAGACCTAAAGATATTTAAAGTCAAAGGGGCACAAGGTTCTTGTCTGGCCTTGAATGTTCCACAGTATGACTTTAAACTTGTTTAGAAACAAACAGGCCAAGTGACAGGTCATTTGTGAAAAGGCGAGTATCGTGCAGGCAAAGAAGCTTCTTACCAACAAATAAGGAGAAAAGGGTTCAAGGTGTCTCAAAAAGCTCTATACAAATCCATTATTTATTACGTTTTTTACTTTTTCTTGGGATTGAAAATGTGTGTGCGTTTTCTTCTATATAACTTACCCACAGTTGACCCAGGCTATCGTCCCCTGGCCCTTCACTGTCTGTGCCACGTCCGACAGCAGCTTCAGTTGGGGGTCCCCTGACGTCGCTGCAAAACAAGCAGAGAGTAAGACCAGTCAAAACCCACTGTATCAATGCCTCAAAAACCAGGCCTGGCTGTGGGACAGTGAGGGACAGTGAGGACCCTGTCATGGCCGACACAGAGAGGAGGGCTAGGATTTCGGAGAAGAAAGAGAAAGCAAGGTCAGTGGGAGAGGGAAGCTACGAATGCGATTCACAAGCGACTGGTTAAAGTTACATCAGCTTTCAACAGGTGACAATAGAGAGAGTGGGAAGAGAGCAGGATTGTACAGGGAAACAAAGAGCTATGTGGAGCTAGAGCTAATGAGAGTGGGTTAGCTTCTGTGTGGTGCTTATGGTTGAAGTTCCACTTTGGAACATTTCTGGTACGGGGCCTGCTGCGTGCTTGTCTCCATGGAGATTAGGACTGGGAATCACAGTGTCCCTTGCAATTCAATATGCAATAATAAATAATGGATATATTGCACATGATACTCTGTGATATATTGCTGAACCAAATACATTTTAGCAACAATATTTCTTTGTTAAACCACTTCTTGTGCAAAGTTAATATGAGCCTAACCCTGTTTAAATTATCAAAACAGTAAATATGTCAAGTGTATTGCATAAAGTTTCCTTACACTCAATAAGCAACAAAACTGAAGAGCAATCACACAAAAAATGGCTAAAAGATATTAAAAAAAAAAATACTACTGGCAATATATCTATACAGCAGCCCATGATAACATTACTGTTATCACCGAATTTTGTATCACAATATTTCGATATTTCGATATTTCTGCACACCCCTAATGGAGATGTTGTTGCTTTACCTGGAATGATTCAGTGTATGGCATTATACTTCTAAAATCTAATGCCATGGACATAATCAAGTCAGATATGTGGTGAGGGAAACTCACCCACAGTAACAATGTTTTTGGAGGTACTTCTGATCATTAAAAAAGCATTCTGAATTAATGCAATAGAAGTTTAACACGATACTTTTGACTGTTCCAGGCAAAACAATATCATTACCACAGATTAAAGCAGGTGGCAGTCCCTACACCCCAAAAGTTACACAATGCATCTTTAATGAAATATGACGGCATGCAAAAATACAGTTCTGTTGAAACAGTATGAAATATGGACATTATAACACCCCTAATGGATCATTTGTTTCATCCTGATCCAGATCACAGTACATGTAATGCTAATGCATTTAAATGGAAGCTCCAATGGGACTACCAGTATTTTTGCCAATACTGTATGCAGTGAATAGCTATACATTACATATTAGCTGCTAGGATCTTACAATAATTTGACAGTGAGAGTTCATAACCCCAAGAGAAGTTTGTATGACCTCCTCCTTCAAACTTTGCACTTTCTTTGTGTTACAAATGTAGGAGTGTGCCATGAACCGAGCCAACTAAAATAACCAATCTGTAATATTAGTCTCTCTCATCAGATGTGGAAAGCTGCGCAAATTCCTCAGAGAACAAAGTCAACGTAAAGTCAACATAAAGTAAGATTTTAGTCTTTGTTGAACATAAATCATTTCTGCACTAACCCTCTTGAAGCCAAATGTATTTTAGACTGAAAATGGACAACTCCTCCTGTCTGCAACATCTCAGTGCAGGCTATTTTTAAACCAGGGGGCAGAGATCTGACTCCCCAAAGTGAGGGTTAAGAGCGGGGCAGAGTCTAAACATATGGAAATCAGGTATAAACCAGGTCTAAGAAAGGTCTAAAGCCAAGTCTAAATCCAAGTCTAAAGTGAAAGTCTAAAGCCAAGCCTAATGCTGGTCTAATCCAGGTCTAAATCAGGTTTAATACATGTCTAAAACTGAACTAATACAAGACTAAAACAAGATTAAACAATACTACAGCAAGACTTAACCAGGTTTAATGCTGAAATGTAGTAATTGAAAAGATTATATCATGTACAAAAAAAGGCCATTAACAAAGGAATTAAGAAACCACCCCTGTTGATGTGGGGTAGAGCAGAGCCTCCAGGTTGAAGCTCTCATCATAGAGGTGGACATGATCCTCTGTAGTATAGACGTACCAGAGCTTTGTAATAGAGTAACTGGTGACTGGCGAGGGCTACTGTTCCTCGTTGGTTTCTTCTTCTTTTGCTCTCAGTAGGAAATCGCGCCCCCTTCCATAGACATGAAATGTCAACATTATCGGATTTGTACCAAATTTGGGGATTACAAGCAAAAAAAATATATTATGGACATGGGGCCTTTTTCATGGTTGATCAGCAGGGGTGCAAGACCCCCCACCCCCCAAAAAACATTTCATTTATTTTTTAGTTTTTTTTTTAACTAGTTGTCAATCCAAATGAGGGTGATTAGCTTTGTTAGACTGAAAAAGTTCTCCAATCTTGTATTAACCACTAGAGTAGAACATGCATCTTTCCTTCCATCTAGAATAGAAATTGGCAATTACTTCTCAGTCGATATTACATTTGAGAACACCTTTGCCAAAACCTCATTAACAAATTGCATTACCAAATTCAGGAGTCAAAGAAAACCTGCCTAATGTTTTAAATCACTTAAATTGGACGTGCCACAGCCTGCAGTGCGGTGATCACATTCAGATGAGGAGAGCCGAAGAGAAAGAGGGCCAGTTGAAGAGGTAACCTTAGTGTGAAGACTGGAGCAGGAAGCGTGGAGTGATCAATCAGAAACAGAGCTAATCCAATGAGCTAATGCGGCCGAAATGAGGCATGAATTATGAAACGAATGTGAGCCCGTGGTCTCCTGACACTGCTGAGAAACAGGGAGGAGGAGCTCGACAGGTCTTTAAATATGAAATCTTAAGATGGAAAATATGTCTCATCGTGCACTTTGAGCTTTTTGCCATGTTTTTCTAATGTGTTTTTTAGAGATAGACCGATATATTGGCCAATACTTGCCCTATTAGTGTATCGGCTATCAGTCATAAATCTCCAGAAGAGGACGATATTTTGTTTGGCACAACCAGCAACCTAAAGATGCCTGAAAAATATATGCATAAAGCTTTATCTGTCCAAAGAGGGTACACCAAAACTGTGACTACACTATAGAAAGAAGAAGGTTGTTGATGAGTTGTACAAAATTTTACTAATAATTTGGGGAAAACTATGTAAATCGGCTCTACATATCGGCCCAACATATCAGCCCAAATATATCGGCAAATTGGTTCCTTTAGATTCTAAACATTCGGTATTGACCATGTAAAAATCTAAGCACATTAGTACTTAGTTTGCATCTGTAATGAGTCATAGAAGTTATTAATTTATCCTTTTATGGCTTAAATCTTACATACACACACACACACACAAAAAAATGTACACACTGTAAAGAAATAAAAACATATTGTTCCAGTTTTCACATACTGAACAATAAGTTGATATAATATTATCGTGAAAGGCCTAATCTGGACCCTTTTGTATTTTGCATTTGAACACAGGAGGAGTGGCGAACAACTCAAAGCTACCGGAGAAAAACTACTTCTTTGCACCTGTCCACAATCTGATGTGCACTTTAAATAAATAAAAGAGAAACAAAAGCACATGGTGGATTGTACAGAGCTTTCTGCGCGCTACATAACATCTCTTCTGGTCAAACAGCTGACTCAACCACACTCAGGCTGAAATCCACCTGGATGTTTGTAAAGGGCTTTATCTTAAAATATGTGCTATATAACTTTTCTCGTGAAGTGTTATTACTTTTCCTAGAATGCTCCACAGTATGGCATTAAACTTATGTATCTTGCTTTTTTCCTATTTACAAGTTTTTACTGCCAAAAAAGCTCACTGTTAGGCCTGTCAGGAAAACACATTTTGAAGTGCAATATACTGCTATAGACAATAAATAAAATATTGAAACCAAACTAGAAACCAGAATTATTCACTAAAATATATTCTAAATGTACAATATTGTTAAAGACGCAATGTGTAACTTTCCTGGTGGAGGGTCCGTCAAATGCTTTTCTCCATGAACATGTCACTGTCTGGAATGTTTCACAGGATGGCGTTAAACCATTCTACCTTCATGGAGACCAAACCAGACCAAGTTACAGGTCAGATCTGTGGAGAGGTGTCCTTGCTCACATTCAGAATGCCTGTTTTTCTAGGTATTTTTGAGCTATAAAACCACCTGTAATTGAATAAATGTAAAGTAAAGTTGTTTAATGTCATACTGTGGAACATTCGAAGCAGAATGATATACCCATAGAAACAAGCAGGTGACGGACCCTCAACCAAAAAGTTACACAATGCACCTTTAAATATTGTTTATCATACTGCAGAAAACATAACCAAAGATTTCACACTACTACAAAGAAAAAGTACAATGCGAAATACAGAAATTTACTACGAAATGTACTACCTTCTTTTAAAATCTGAATCCATCCAAGTATCCTGTGGTAAACACTTACTGGGACTGGGAAACACTGACCTACTGTACTGCACATCTTCAGTGGTCCATGTCTTTTTATAAGTGCATTAATTCACCAGAGGCTCATTCACCAGTCTCTCGTTCATAGTAAATTTATATGGGTCATGACACACTTATTTAGCTAATATTTCTCTCTCCTGCCACGGCACCAGGTCAAGACTGTCTCAAGGGAATAGCACAGATTGCTAACACTAGAAATTCAGCTGTTATTGTTCTAGAAAGGTACGATATTATATTATACACTAAATCACTACAGATAGAAAGGAGCTTGTGGCATTCCCTGCAGCCATCATAACAATGTTTTTTTTACTATACAGTATATATTTAATATATACGTTATGAATAAGTTGTGATATTTGACAACTACCTTAAAAATAAATGCTATAGTGCAATGTTTAAATAAACCACTGTGAAGCAGTCAGTTCAATATAATTATAATAAAAAATTGCCTAAATCTGTCAGAAGAAACATTAAACAGAACCAAAACAAAACAAAATACAAAGGTCATGACAAAAATTTGAATTTTCTAAAACATTTTTTCATACATAGTGATGAAAACTGAATATACTACTACACTTATACTACTACTGTACTAGAGGTTTTTTCATTTTAGTAGATACATTTAATAGTAATAAGATAATCAAAGTGGTTTTCAATGTATTATTCATACACTTCACACTCTAACCCTATTCAGTCCAGCAATATAGATTGAAATAATGGTTAATTCAATAATCCTTTTGAGAGGACTTCACTCAAGATATACCATTGTTGCATTATTGCTGTAGTTCAGTCCTTTGCTAAGATTTAGTCAAATTATAGAGCACTTTTAAAATGGATAAAGACACATTTGAACACATGTATTCCTTCTGACCTGATTTGGTATAGAGCACTAGAACATTGGTCCTGGTTCGGAGCAGCTTCTTGAAGTCTTTGTGGTCGTTCACTTTCTCAATGAGAGGAGACACCTTCAGCGCATCCAGCACCGGCACCAGCCACACCTGAGGACACACGGACAGGGACTTTAATACAGAGGAAGACTTTGAACTGGTTTAGTTAGTGGTGGACAGATTACTAAAATATCTATAATATTGTAAATGCTGTTTTTAGATATGTTCAATTTGAATATCAAACTAACCATTTCATTAATAAGTAACATCATGTAACTTAACAACTTGGGAGCTGGCATGTCACCTGAATTATTCATTTTGAATAGAAGATAAAACCATTTCCATGCAGACATGAAAGAGGAGGCCGTCCTTCAGGCCAAGTCAGAATCAGGTTGGTGGAGATGCAAGCTTGCTCACTGTAAGTCCACATCTTTTTTTTTCCTCCACGCTTTTAATAGTAAGAAAACCAACAAAAAACATGGATGCGTTTTGAAAATATAGCCATAGTCATTAAAATTCCTGACCAATGTTAAAATTTTGTATCCTTATCAAAATCATACCTGGAGTTTTTCTCCAAAATGGAAAACACTGTTTTACTTTGTGATGTCATGTGGTAATAAAAGAAGTTCTCCACTGTGGTTTTGGACTCCATACACCTTCACAAAGAATCATTTTGATAATTTTATTCCTGGAATTGTCAATCTCTACTAAAATAAAGGTAAAAGGTAGATGTTAACTTGAAAACTACCAGTTCATGACATCATAAGTCGGTACAGAGCATTTTGAGCTTTGGAGATGTAGACAGACTATATATGATTACGCTGTGTGAATGAAATTTCAGATATGTTTTTGAAGAGATAACACCATTATAACATCTTAAAGCTTACAAGAGTGAATTTTGCATAATATTTAACAATTCAAAACTAAGTATAACATCTTTTGAATGGGAAAAAAGTTCTCAAAATATAGCATACAACAGGCAACTGAATCTCATGAATAATGCTTTTTTTTTTTTTTTTTTTTTAAACACGTTGATAAGAGAAACCAGAATACCAACCCTGACACGGGCAGAACATGCAAACTCCATATAGAGACACCCCATCAATCACTCCACGATACAAAGACTTGGCTAAAACACTGCGTCCCACCTGCGCGCCTGGCCACTGCTTTGTTGACAGTCTAAACATTAGCCAGTCTAAAGCAGTCCGGTCAGATAAAAGAGCCAAAGTACGCAGGGCCTGATAAATTGAGCAAAGCTGTTGAATATAAAAAGTGATTATAGCGCGGGGGATGCAGGGCGTATTGGGTGCATCCTAATCGTCCTTGTGCCTTCAGTGTTGATTAAAAAGCTCTTCATTTCTGCTTACGGCCGAGTAAACGAGACAGCGAACAGGCCCGTGCTCACTCAGCGCATCCCCGTGATGACTGATACCAGCGCCATCAAAACAAGCACCTGTCCAAGCCATTTTACACCTTTCATTCCCACTGGAGCCATTATGAAACACGGCTTTATAGATGCGTTTAGCTATGCTTAAGGTTTAAAGTGGCACTGCGGAACTTTTATGGTGGAGAGTTTCCATGGAGGTGTTCTTGCCTGGAAAGTTTCAAGTTAGACAAGCCTTAGACAAATCAATAAAAATAAGCAAGTGACAATAGCAGGCCAAGTTACAGTTCAGATCTGTGGAGAGGTGTCCTGAATGGTACTTTTTTTGTTCCAAATTCTGTAATATTTATTATATAAAATGACAACAATAATGATAATGAATACTTTAATTATTTGAAATGAAGCTGTACTTTTGGGGGTGACGGTGCCTGGAAGAGCTCTGTAAATAAAGTTGCATTTGACTTGATTTTGGAAACATTCTATAGGGCACTACCACCCAGACATCAAAACATTTCAGCAAAAGTGATTTAAAAAAAAAACACCCATTCTTGTAGTTAGATTTTTGGGAAGTAGTACCGGTAGTTCCTTAACCTGTTTGGTATACTAGTATCTTTCAAAAGGCCAGTATTATGTGATTGTCTGAGCTATGTTATAATGCAGTTTCCTCATCAAAGTCAATCAAACTTTATTTATAGAGCCCTTTACAACAATGAAATAAAACATATTTTGCGTAGCCTCTCTGCATTACTAACATACTTGTATATTTAGTCTGAGTTCTTCTCTCAAAGCAGAAAACACTCACTGTTTATTACTTATTATTAGTCTAACTACATCTCCAAAGCTCAGAATGCTCTGTTCCACCTTGTGATGTCATGTGGTAATCCAGGAAGTACTCCAGTGTTTTTCAACTCCATACACCTTCACTAGAATCATCTGGATGATTTCAGTCCTACCCCAATCTCTGCTGAACAAAAGGTAAAAAGTTTCTGTTCACTTGAGAGGTTTGGAGATGTAGGCAGACTAATAATAAAGTGTTACTCAAATGAATTAAACAAAACACAACTCCAGGTATGTTTTTGATGAAGTAACAAAATTATAACATGAGTTAGAGCTCACAATTTTGTGCAATATAGGACCTCTAACAGTACCCAGCCTTATTGTGTAATACTGTTTAAAAATATGAGCTGCAATAGATAAATGTCAGATTGAGACACCCAGTAACAGTACTTATTGTGAAACAATTCAACCCCCCACAGCACAAATATTATTGTACTAAAAAAAAGTAAATCCACTAATGTGAAAAAAATGCACCCATGATAAATACTTGGGGCCAAATAAACCTTGTTCTGCCTTTCGTTAATTGAAAAATACACTGACATAGTAATTATTGTGACAGGCCTAAGTAGCAACAAACAAAAGAAGAGCCAAGGCAAAAGCGCACGCCATGCAGCCTGTGTCCCAGCAGAGTCTGGTTTGTATATGGGACATTACGTTATGGTGCGAGCCTATAAAACACAAGGAAGAGCTGATGAATCACAGGATCACAAAAGCCAGATGTTTAGGTGTAAAATATGGTACTCACATACACAAGATATGACCTCATTCACATGAACAGTACATGTGCAAGCACTGTCTCTAATGATGATTAATGAAGACTACCGGAGCCCATTAGAACCACAGCTATTGACTTTGCTCCTATGGTTGAGAGCAGACACTGATGCTAATTTAGATAACAACTTACTTAAGGATTAATATGAGAAAATTAGGACAAATTTAATACTTGTACATTAGGGATGTAACATATTAGGGGTGTACTGGTACACAAAAATCACGTTTCGGTATGTACCTCGGTTCGGTTTGGTTCATTTTCAGTACAGAATGGGACCAAAATGCAAAACCATTTGCTTGTTGTTTATTTGTGTGTTTATTAAACCAAAATAAAATAAATGCTAAGTGCTGCTTGGTAATACTAATAAGTTAAATACAATATTCTCAAATAAGCAACAAAAAATTAATAATAATATTATTAAATAATAAAATATTCAAAATAAATTCCTTGAAAATAGTAAACAAAACTTAAAAAAAAAAAGTGCAGCACTAACAGTTCCAGGATGAAGTTTTACTCAGTCTTCATATTTTTGGCAACAACTTGTCCACATTGTCTGCAGAAAGTGCAGATCTGCTGGTGGGGGGAGGGCGAGGGAGGACATTCTGTACCGGCAAAAGGTGAGAGTGAGGACTGTGGCACGTTGACCGTAGTTTTGTGAGGATTCACGTGGTTCGGAGTGACATAGTCAAGGCAGGGGGCAATTGTTGTCAAGGTGGCCATCCTAAGTATAAAGCTCTGCGGTAAATACTGTCACCCCAATCATGGATGAGTTCCCTCGTGAATATTAAAGAGCCGAATCTTCCGTGGAGCTGCACATGTATTGGTGGAATATAAACACACAAATTGCACAAAGTCGTGCACCGTCCTGCACTGAACTGAATGTCCCGTAACGGGGACACCCCTAAACTTTCTCAGTATCTCAAGGTACAGTATTGCAATATTTTGTGGAGGCTAACAAATCTCTGAATACGCAACTTTTTCCTCTTAAAATGCCTTAAAAAGATTTTATCCCAAATAACTAAGATTTAAAATGGTTATAAGTTATTTCTTCATGTAGTCTGCACTGAATCGGTGCAAAGGATCATGTATGTATGGTCTATGTAGTTACCTCTGTTTTTTTAGCCATCACAGCACCATAACTATTAAATTAAGTGAAGAGTCTTCGATATTGTGATGGTTCATTAGATTATTGTGAGACCATTGACGATACGACATCACAATATTTCGGTTATTGTTACAGCCCTGTTATACATGTTCTTTGCACATTTCGCCACAACTGAATCAACATAACAGTTTGGCAACTGGCAAAGGCTGCAATAATTTTGATAATCAAATGTCTGTGGCAAAGAACGTATCTTGTCTTTTTAGAAAACTCCTTTAGATCACTACAAACATGTTTAACAAAATACTTTTTTTTTCATTTATTAGTTCATATTTCAGTCTTCTCTCAAATATTAATGCCTCCAGTTGTTTACAATGTGCAGTGCTGACAGTATCCTACTTTTTATACATATCAAAAACTCAGTACTTTTTCACAGAAAGTAAAAGTGCTCCACTGTGTTTTAAACTTCACACACCTACACTATCATCATTTGGATAATTTCAGCCCAACCCCAATCTCTACTGAACAAAAAAAAATAGCTGATAACTTGAAAATTACCAACTAAGCTTTTAATAATTGCCATTTAAACTAAGCGCATTATTACATTTCCATTGAACTCTGCTTCAAACCACATGCTTACACAGGCAGGACTGTCTGTAGACCAAAAAGACCCAAGCTGATCATAAACTATTAGAGAAGACTGAAGCGTGATCTCAATTAAAATATAATCAACTGCACAGATCTAACGCTATGGCAACAACGTCCATTAAGATTCAGCTGTGACTCGACATGAATTAGTTGAATCTGCCGAGGCACGTCTTCAGAATGGGGAGAAAGTAGCGTTTCCCAGGCAACGCAATAAAACCCCCATAGACACAAGCACTCTACCAGAAAATCTCCACAGTGCGCCTTTAAGCTTGTAGTGATTTGCACATGTACCATTATGTCATTCATTGGCGTTTCATTTGATCGGACTTACTTAATTCTCACTACATTGGTTCATTCTAAACTCTTTC